ATGTGTTGCTAACATCTTGCCTTATATGATGATCATCAAATTCAACATTGAAGCTTTCTGTAACACCCTGTTTATTTAATAGATAAATAGATAAAATTTATGAAAGAGTAGTAGCCCTAAAATTCATAATGTTCAGTGAGATGTTGGTTCAGGGAGCCAAATGTTATACATTGGATTATCCGGGATTTATTTTGTAAAGATTTTTAGAAGTCGGGGGTTAAAATGTAAGTTTCGGGTTAGTTTCGTAAATATTTATGAAGGTAGGGACTAATTGGTGAATTATTGGGACTCAATTGAAGAGATTTTGGAAGCTTAGGGGCTGGTTGGTAAATTCCGGACCTTATTTGTAAGGATTTCAGAAGATGGGGTTTAAAGGGTAAATTATTGACTTAATTTGAAAGGAATTAGGATGGAGGGGCTGTTAATGTAATTATGGGGTAGATGCTCATAACCGGGTATATAACCTCATTATCGGTCAAACCCTAACCCTAAAACCCCCTTATGTTTCAGCCATCACCCCACCTCTCTCCAGCCGCCATCATTCACCTCCTTCTTCATCTCCGATCCGACGCCGCCATCATCTACTTTGTTCGTTTTTCCGGCCGCCTAGCATCATCGGGTAGCCCTCGTCACCGTCAACATCAGAGGCCGACTAGGGGTGGAAGACAGCCTCCAGACGCTGCTGCTTCGTCGAAGTTTCATTGCTTCCGGCGACACCATGAACGACAGGGACCACCGAGACCGGGTTTTTGCGCTGTGAGCGGCGAAGTGTGACCTGCGAAGTCAATGTCCAGTCACGGGCAGTGGAGGTTCGAGATAGCCTGGTCGTTGCTGTTGTTCGGATGTCGGACGACCACCTCCCTACCGTATTCTTCTTATCCTTCTCCATTTATTTCTGGTGTTGCGACGTTGTTGTGGTTCCGATGAGTATTGCGTAGCTGCTTGTCCGTTCGACTGCTTCACGCCACCGTAGGGGTGGCCGAGACTGGTGTGTTTCCAGCGATGGTTATGCATGTTCTGATGTTATGTGCGTGTTATTATTTTGGTGTGTGTGTGTATTGTGATGGTATAAGGTTGTAGGAGTGCATCTTGGCCGAAGATCCGAAGAGAACCACCACCACAGTGAGGTGGTGGCTGCCACCATTTACCACCACCGGCCACCACAAGGTGACCGTGTGTGTGTGTGTGTGTTTATTTTGTTTAGTGTGTGTTTATTTTGGGATTAAAGCCTTGTAAAATGTAATTAGAAAGTGGATTAATGAAAAGAAAACTAAAACCACCACCGTAGGGTGGTGGCTGCCGCCTCCTGCCGCCACCGGCCGCCGCGTCGGGTGGCGGTGTGCCTTGTTTGGTTTGTGACTCGTTTGGATGTTTGGACAAAGGGACTAAAACCCTAATGGGCCTAATGAATCTTAATTGATAAAAAGACCTAGCTATTGGGCCTATTGGGCTAAGATGGGGTTGGAAACCCTAATTAGGGTTTAGAAAACCCTAATATTGGATTTATGGGCTTGGACTTATCGTGACCCACATTTGGGCCATTGGAATGGAATTGTGTATTAAGCCCAATCACACCATATGATTTATTTATAAGAATGATGGACTTAATGGATTAAGTCCTTAATGGGTTAAGTGAGAAACACTTAACCTTAATCGTCATTTTATGTGAAACCCTAATTTCACTTGGGTTTATTGTTGGGCATTTCTATTGGGCCTTGATGATTGGGTTATTAATGGTCTATCCAAGATCAAGCAAAAATGGACTAGAATAATTAATGGGCTCTGAGGTAAGGCCCATATGAGGAGTTGGGCCCAATTTGGAAAATTGGGCCATAGTTTGGGCCTTTATGATTATGTGATATTGGGCCATTAGAATGTTGAATGTTGGACTGGACTAAATGGTTGGGCCTTATGGTAAGACCTTGTAAAGTTTTGGGCCCAATTTGGAAAATTGGGCCATATGTTGGGCTTTGACTCATAGTTGACTTTTGGGCCTTCTGATTGGGCCGTGGGCTTGAATAAAGCTAAGTTAGGGGTAAAGTAGTATTTACCCCCAAGTATGTATTTATGGGTATGTGTTGGAACCCAATTATTAATTGGGTGATGTTTTTGACATTGACAGTTCGGGAATCTGTCATCCAACAGCTGGGGGTTGTGTCTACGGGACTTCAGCAGTGTGAGGTGAGTTCTCTTCCAGTAGGAACGGGTCTAAGGCCACAATTCCGGCTCGTTTAGTTATTAGTAGTTCCGGACTATGGTCCGATTCCGGGGCGGTCCCGAGAATAGTATATGTATGCTTGATGTCTTTGTGATTCATGCATGTTATGTGTCATGTGTTCCGGGGCAAGCCCGATGTATGCTAGTGTATCTATTATATGTTATGTGTTCCGGGGTAAGCCCGATGTCGGGGCAAGCCCGATGTATGTTAGCTTATATGTTATGTGTTATGTGATCCGGGGTAAGCCCGATGTATGTTATATGCTTATGTTATATGTTTATGATATATGTTGTGTATGCCGGGGTAAGCCCGATGTCGGGGCAAGCCCGATGTCGGGGTGAGCCCAATGCCAGACGTGGTCTGATGCCGGGGTGAGCCTAATGCCAGGCAGGACTCCGATGTCGGGTAAGCCGATGACGGGTTCGTCCCGATGCAGCTGGGCGGTGTCCCAAAGTTATGTTTATGTTATGTGTTTATGTTATATGCATTGTTGATATGTTTATATGAGTAGCAGATTACGGTCCGATGTCGGGCGGGGCCCGAGGTAGTGGGTTAGGCCTAAGTTATGTGGTTATGTGTATGGTAGGTGGTAGTTTGGGGAGACTCACTAAGCTTCGTGCTTACAGTTTTCAGTTTTTGTTTCAGGAACTCCAACTTTCAAAAGATGAGCTCAGGATGATTGATGTGCACACACCATTTGTTTAGCCTGGCATGTTTATACTCTGATATATTTTGACATGTGACTTTGATACATGAATTATGATTTTTATATGATGAGGATATTTATGGTTTTATTAATGGTTTAAAACGAAATTTTTGGGCTGTATTTTTGGGATGTTTCACTTTTCCTTAATAATTCGAATGCGACGATTAAGCACTCGATAACTTCACCAACTCTGGATTGAAACATTGTCAAATGGTCTTAGTTGTTCTTCACAAAACATCTACAACCAAAACCCTAAATAATTTTACATTTGGTTTGTGATTGTTCATACCTTCGTATGGAGTTTTATTAAGGCGTTTCTTGATGATGCTTCTAGTTTGGAGAAATCATGCGGTAGATGCCCAAAAATATAGTGACAAATAGGCAAACTTTAACATTGAATGAGTAGCTTCTGCTAGAGTTATATTGTATCTCTCAACCACACCATTTTGTTGTGGTGTGTATGAAGAATGTAGATTATGTTCTATACTTTTTGAAACAAGAAATTCAATTAATGTTAAGTTAATGAATTTCGTTCCATTGTCTTTGCGTATTCTCCTAACTGGAAGGTTGACATTAAGTTTCACATTCTTTATGAAGTTTATCAATTCCTATGCAGTCTTTGATTTTAACCTAAGAAAGAATACCTTGTAAAGCGGGTATAGTCATCGATAATAAACATAATGTATTTCTTCTTAGATAAACATTGAATTGCGGATGGACCATGTAGATCGATATCAAGCAACTAAAGAGGTTCAGTAATGGTAGAGTACAGAACAATTGAATATTTCTTTTTAGCTTGCTTTCCACACTCACATGCAGGGCATAGAGTGTAATGAAATAAGGTAAATTAATATATATACACTATATAATATAAAGAGTACAAATGTAAGAATCAAGTAAAAGATCAAACTATGGATAAAAGTGAATGAACAAAAAAAACTCAATAGTTTTGTCTAGTGCTTCGAGTGATAAAAGAAAAAAAAAAGACATTTTGTCCTTTCTCTATTCCACTCAAATGCTGGTTTGCATGTGTTTGCCCAACAAAAAAGAGTATGGAGTCGTTCCTCTTAAGAGCCCTTACTCTTACATGTCTCCATCCAACTATAGTGTTCTCTGTGATTAGCTCTGACCACATAAAAAACGAACCAACTCCACTTCCTCTTAATTTGAGTATTAGGTTTGGTAAAAAGTCGATGAACGGTGTTGGGTTGGTGATGGTGATATGGCATGTGGATGGCGGGAACCGAAGGTAGAAGATGATGATGGTTGTTATTATCGTTGGTGTGGAGAAGTTGTTGGATTGAAGTATAATGCCAAGTCGATGAACTGATTTAAGTGGAGATGTTGGTGTGTTGTTTTGTTGTGCCGAAAAAGATTGATAAGAACAAAGGCTCTAGAGGCGAGTGTGATTATAGTTAAGGAACAAGTGCATATGGCTTGAACGGTGGGAGACATTGTTGTGTTGCGTGGATAAAGAAAGAGAAATCGAGCCCTAATAAAAGGCAACATTTTGTTAAAACGTGACGCCAATGCACTGTCTTAAAGCTATGCCGAATTTTTTAGAACCTTGATAATAATAATAATAATAACATTTATAGTTAACGTTAATTAGATTTATTATATAATTAGTCATATGTAAAAAACAATAAAAAAATAAAAATAAAAATATTGTATATAAGAAACTAAGAAATAACTAATTAGTTTTGTATGATTTAATTCTACCTAAGAAAATAATTTATTTTTATATGATTTAATTTATGCTACACAAATAGAAACACTAATTGACGTAAAATATTTGTCTATTGGATTTATACATAAAATTAACCAAAATTTGATACGATCATATTTTATATTTTAAAAATATGTTTCTTATGCCAAAGTCCCGTTTGATATTTGGTGGATATCAACCATACCCTGTAGCTAGTATTAAGAAAATCCAATATCCCCGATACGTCGATAGAAAAGCAAACCATGATGTTACAAGCGCCATATATAGATTATAGGCGTACAACAACATAAACTTAACCAAACACCACCGAACGTCAAAGACAACTCCCGAGCATACATATGATATTATTAATTATACAACCACGTAGACACATACACCAAACGCCTGCCTGAAGTGAAACATAACGGAGCCCGAGCCTGGAAACAGGAAAGTTGTGAGGTGAGTATTATTAGTATTATCAAATCTCAGAGCTCGTAAGGAGGACGAGGGCTCCTGCTTCCAATTCCACTTGCCTTCTCAAAAGCATCTGATGCTGATTTCCTCCGAAACCTGAACGCCTCGCTTCCTGAAATACATCAATTCATTAAATACGTTTGACCAATTAATTAGGAAAACATAATCTAAACCAATGCTTAAATGCATGTATTTGCTGACAAGGACATACATATAATTTTATTTAGATATCCATTAAACATCATCCATTAAACATCTATACAACGTCACCCACAGCCTATTAAACATCTATTAAATCTATACAACGCCGCCCACAACCCATTAAACATCTATTAAATCATAATATCATTTTATTCCTTCTATTGAATCATTCAATTCGATAGAGTTCAATGGATTGACACATCATCCATTAAACATCTATACAACGACACCACAACCCATTAAACATCTATTAAATCATAATATCATTTTATTCCTTCTATTGAATCATTCAATTCGATAGAGTTCAATGGATTGACACATCATCCATTAAACATCTATACGACGCCACCCACAACCCATTAAACATCTACTGAATCATTCAATTGAATAATCATTTAAATCATCCATTCAACTCTATTCTATGTAAACACTCCATTGACTCTTATTCAATTCCATTGACTCTTATTCAATCATCCTATTCAACTCTCAACTCTTATCCTATTCAACTCTCACCTCTTATGCTCTTATTTATATAATTCCTTCAAATTATAAGTATAACTCATTTAATATTGTATATTTGTCGTTGGACATCAACAGGAATCAAGCAGAGAAACATATATGCTTATAATCCAACATTTCGCAAACGAACACAAATATACTAGCTTTATCTTTACGGATCCTTCAAGAATTTAGACTACCACCACCTTTGGAAGGCCGGATCAGCCATTTGTCATTCACCCACTCCAAATGTAATAAGTGGGTGCGATAAACTTACAGCTTACCGGCAAAAGGAGATACCGGAGGTGTAGATCCGGCAGGAGAGGCCGGCGGTGTATCGCTCAGATTTCTCTCAGGTTTTACAATCATGATACTCCGTGTTACTTTCATCGAAGGATACTCCACTGCTGTATTCCCCGCCGTTTCCGATTCTGTTTCAGAAAGGAGATGATTATTTTCAGGATGTATAAAAGATCTTCTAATTAATTTTATGTTTAACGTCATCGTTTTACTTGTCCTTCTGCTGATGTACAGTCTCAATAAAAGAAACTACACGTGTTTGAGGGATCTGACGATCATAACTATTTGTTGTCGCTATATATATCAACCCAGATCCAAAGTCACGTTTCAATTATGCTGATGTAGAGAAAAATAGGAGAGAGAAGACGAAAACCTAACAAAGTGGGTAACTATTAAAACTATATCAATTATATTGTTATAGATATGACATAAACATATGCCAAAAAGACAACTTTTATGATCACGATAAGCAAATGAGTGATTATTGATCGACTATACATAAGAACATGAGTTATGAACTAGACGTAGTTGATGAAAAAAATTTATTGTTAAAAAGTAGACAGGTAATGGCGTACCCTTGTCTGAGTTCAACGATCGGAAACTTAGATTAGATTGTTTTCGCAGCTTTCCAAGTCCTTTATCCGGTGGAGGGCCAGCGATGGTGTCGTCCCAGAGCTTGTTGAGTAAGCTCATGGCTCAGTGTAGAGCAAAGCGCACGACTAGTAATAAAAGAATCTAAGGGATCGGAGAGGCCCAGTAATGGTTATTTATGGAAATATCGAGGAAGTAAATATCGAACAAGTGAGTTGGACTTAGATTGAACGATAGGCGTCGATTACAGATCTGGTTAATCCGAAAAGGAACCAACGGCTGATCATGAAGCACGTAGATAAGATAAGGCTCATGGTGACGAAGCAAAATTTCAGATTAGATTGTCACGTGTCGCATCGAGCAGACTAGAGGGCCCTCTCACGTGATGGCGATACTCTCTAGAAGTAAGGTTGACAAAGACCCATATTATTGCTCCTTCAAATAAAGAAACTTAAAGCTGAACCTTGCCCTTTCCTTTATTATATAGCCTCCAAGTTATTAGGAATTAGAGGGAATTACAAAATTGGGTTACTAAATGGTAGCGCTGTCGAGGTTCAAATTCAATATAATAAAGTTGGAAACTTGATCTAACGGTCGACATGAATGAACTTTTTCGATCAATGTGTGAACCAAAAACCAAACGAAGAAAAATATTAACTAAGCAATCAAGGACAAACAATAAGTAAGAAAATAAGACTTTAAGTGGTTGTGTTGGAGATGTTGCAACACCTTGCTTTTGCATCAATTATGGTTAATTGCTTGAGTATTTTCATACATGGCAAACGTATTTATATAGAAAGTTTCTTAAACAACAACAACAACAAAACTTCGAAGTCCTATGAAGATAGGATATGGGGAGGTAAGATGGTTGAGAGTCTTATCTTTTTTCAAATAAGACATTCAATTAAAAATATAGTTAAAGAAAAAAAAAAGTCATAGCTTAATTGATGATCTACAATCTCGTGGAAGGTTTCCTACAGCTACCATGCATAATGTTGGCTTCCAAAAGCTACCCTGGCATTACCGTTCTAATATAAGATAATTTTGTTTTGAAATCTAAGCAATCTCATAAATGTGTCTATCACTAATTAATAGCCTTAACAGTCGTAGCTAGATGTGCTTGAATGCTAAGATTTACTCGAAAATCACCAAGCAAGAGGTGTGATTAACCATTTGTGAAAATATCGGGAAGTTGGTGTGGTGATGGAGTATGTAAGACGTGAACTTCGCCACATGCTACCATTTATCATCACAGTTATATCGAGAGATGGAACTTATTTACAAGACAAGTAGGAGAAATAAAGCATGAGGTTGCTTAAAGGTGTGCATAGAAGGTGTATTAATGTTTAGTTGTGATGTAGAAGGAGAATATGAAGAACTTATAAGTAGACTGCTTTTTCTGGAAAGGCGTGACACGCCCTTCTATTGATGCGGTAAGTCGGGTCAAATATTGGTCAACAAGTCAAGGTCAAACTTGTGGTCAACGAAAGTTAATGATAAGGTCACGAGGCTTGAGTTAGGTTCACTACAAGAAAAAGGAGTTTATGTGACTAAATTATCAGAAACTGATTAATCAGTCTTGGATACCATGTCTCTGGGACTAATGAACAGATACTATCTATGACTAATTTTAATGTGTAAATCATTAGAGACTGACCAAACTTATTCGAGACTAAAATTTACTCCCTAACCAGTTTGCGCTAGTTTAGGTTTGGTAGGAAACAAATTGGGGACTGAAATTTAGTCTCGAATAGTATAACATTAGTTGTTAGTTTGGAAAGAAAGTTATGAGGGACTAAATTTTAGTCCCTCATAGTCTTGTGCCAATTTTGATTGTGTAAGGAACTTATTATGGACTGAATTTTAGTCATTGATATAATTGCATTAATTTGTTGTACGGACGTGAAACTTTCTAAAGGCTGAATTTTAGTCCCTAATAGAAATGCAACATTTGACATTCGAATAAACACTTATAATTGGTTGGATCTTAGTATATAAGACTAATTATCCGGTCACATATACCATATATCAAAGTCGGATGAATCAATCATAAATACTATTTTGAAGGAACATCATTAAGGACTGAATTTTAGTCTTTGATACAGGATTTTAGTCTTTGACACAAGTTATTTAATCATATAGGTAAGGATAGGTATGAGAATGGGTGGATGCTGCTATGGGTATAAGTGAAGGTATGATGTGGCGGCGGTGGGTGCATGTGGATGGGTGGGTATGGGTTTGGGAGAATATACGATGTTATAAAAGACATTTTCAATCATGAAATAAAAAATATCGTTATCGAACATGCCATACTTCAACGACATTTAAGAAAACACTATATTAAAATCTATATAAATTACATATATAGTTGTTCCCTTTTGATATGTGCCAAAAAAGGAACCATAATTTAAATAAAAATGAAATACATATAAATGATGAAACTTTAGGGTTAAACATGTAATTTTTCAAAAAAGAAACAAATTTGATAGTTTGTGAATAATAAATGATAATTAAGGGGCCATTCTTTTAAATTGAATTTATTTTGTATAGGTTAGTAGAATGAGATAGTGTAGTCATTGCCAATTCCGCTCCAATTGTATGTATAACCGAATCGATATTTTTTTATTTTTTCTGCTAATTTCACTTCCCCATTTACAAATTAAAAATAAAGTTTTTCCCTCCCAGGTTTTTTTCATTTCCCCCTTAATTCCACACGAAAATTTTAACTTAGTTTCTTCTTCACAAATCAAGACCCTTCTCCATACACTTTCATAACCTAAATTTAAACGCTCGCCATCAACATTCAACATCGCCGGCTTTCTCCTTCCTTCTGAGTTAGATTCCAGCCGCCCCCATCCCTAACATCGTCGATTACGCACACTCTCACCCCAATGTCGAGAGACTAAAAGGGGGCGCACTTCTGGTTTCTCATTTCTTCCAGATTTGATTCATTTGTTCCATTTCTCTATTTAGCTTTCTTTTTTCTTTGATTAGGTTATAAACAAAGACCGAAGGAGATCTTTGTTCCAACATCACCGATTGCACCCATTAAGGTTCTTCATCACATGCTCGCACCCAAGTTTTCATTTTGAAAATTTTGATTTATAATAAAGGCTTGAATTTGTATATTGCATCCATGGTCGAAACCTCTAGAAAAACTACACGTAACGATGTCAGATTATGAATCTATGTTGTTGTCAAAATAACCATGACATAGGTACCAATTTGTGAAAATTTATCAAGTATACTTGTATTTTAATAAGTTATCATTTACTTTTGAGCTACTACTTTTGTGGTTTTTTCATGTGTTTTGGTACTGATAATGCAAAAAGATAGAAGAAAAGAATATGCGTAAAAAATAGGATAGTTTACGCCTTTCGTTTTGGCAATTTATTTTTACATTTTGTTTCGTGATCAGGTTCATAAATTTTATGTAATTTCATCTTATATGTGCTTTAATCTGATTCAGATCAATAGGCAACATGTTCAAGCAACTCATAGCTTCCAACACAGGTAGCAATTTGGTATTTCATTGTCATTTTGATATTTTGTGACACATAAACTTAACTAGTTCCATAAGATTTTGTTCTCTTGATTTAGGTTCACCAAGTTCGCCTTTTTTAATCAATATCTCAACAAAGTTCAATTCAGGTTTCCTTTGATGATTTTATGTCTTGAATCTCATTCGTACATATGTCTCCAAGTTTTTTTCGGATCTTAGTTTAGGTTACATTTTGAACTGTTTGCTAATTACAATATGTGAATTCTAGAACACTCCTAGTTCACATATTAATTTAACAAAATCATGGTGTTTCTGATAACATAAATGACAGAAGAATTAGGAATATATTAAGCAGGAGAAACTACTTCAATTTTCTTCTCCATGTGTATACGATTGGCCAAGGTATTTTTTACAATCTTGCAATTTATATGTATAGTTTGGTGGATTTTAAATATGGTAGTTGCCACATACTCGTTTTATTAATGTGCAACATTGCATATTGGCCTTAATTATGTATAATATAATGCTTAGTAAAAAGTATATTGAAAGTACAATGCTGCAATAGAAAGCCAAATGATATGGTAATTGTCACATATTCGGTTTATTGTTTTGCAAGGATGTTTGTTGTTGTTTTGCAGTTATTTATATTTTTTTTTCAAGTTGAAAGTATGTTGCTATTAATTGTTTATAATTTTTTGTTCAAGTTGAAAGTATGTTTGCTATTATATCTTCATAGTTCATTATATAAGTAGAAAGTATGTTGATATTAATTGAATGATACTACTTGATGTTTAATTAGTTGTAAACTTGATTATTGTTCCATTGTAGGGTATTGGTTATCAAATCCATGAGGAGATGAAAGAAGAGATTTATGGGGAATATGAAGAAAGTGAGGCCAAAAAACAAGAAATTGCTAAGATGTATAACGAAATCATAAAGTTTTCCCAAGGAAATAACCCACCCAACAAATTAGACTTTGATATTTTTATTTTTTTTATTTAGTTTCAATACTTTTGAAATCAAATATGATTCTTCATTTTGCTAGTCGAATATTAATACTTATTTTTGTAGTCGAATGTTAATGTTTTGATTTTGAGGTATAAAATTTGATGTTCATTTTGCTAATTGAATATTAGAGATTGAATGAAATTGTATCCTATTGAAAACTCATATTAGCGATTGAATGACATTGTATTTGAGATTGATATTCAGTTTTTGAAAAATTAGGTTAAAGACCGAATGACATTGTATCTGAGACTGCTATTCGATCACTGAAAAATTAGGTTAGATACTAAAGGAAACATATTGGAGACTGAACATAATAATGTCAAAGACTAATATTTAGTCCTTGAAATACATACGATATAAAATAGAGATTTCAATGAATCATATTAAAGATTCAATGTTGTATTATAAGAGGCTGATATTCAGTCCTTAAAAGCTAGTATTAGGGACTGATACGAGATAAAATCGAGGATTTGAAAAAAAAAATTAGAGACTGAATGAGATATTACCAAAGACTGATTTTCAGTCATTGATATTTTGATGTATTGGAGACAGATTTTCAGTCCCAGATACATAAAAAATCGACTTTCTAAGACTAGGTCTCTGGGACTAGATGGGGACTAGCTAAATCAGTCCCTGATTCTCATCAAAGACTGATTATTGACCATCG